GTCCTCAACTTCGGCCCCAAGATTTGAGCTGGATGGAATGGCTTTTCCATCGATGGCGAAACCGAAATTTTTGGACAGGTCCAACACTTCCTTTTCACTCCGGATTTGTGCTGGAGTGTCCTTTAGATGTGGAGTTATAATGTCCCCGACATTCGTATCCACGAATTTTCCAGCCTTTTGACGTTTATCCCCAATATTTGACGGCATGTGGTCAGGGGGCAAGCTGGGGTCCTGAGCTTCACTCCCAGGTGATATACGGACGCTGGTGAGCCTTTCCACGGCAGTAGATACCTCTTCTTCCAAGGCTTTAGGATCCGACGAGTCATCCTCAGAATTATCCTCTGTACCAACCTCAGAATTGGCTTCCCCAACAGTTTCCTCGGCAGGCTCAACTCCAAACAGGCTAGGTGTTTCCACAGGGACCTCAGGAACCTCGGCGGGCTTGGCAGGCTTAGAGCTAGCGGCTCCCTTGCCTTTAGAAGTACCCTTAGCCATAGTATTTGCTGGATAGTAAATCGATGTTAGACAGTCTAGAAGCAGTACACTACTGTAACTACTAAGTAACTGAAAAATATGTAAACTTCGATGGAAATTTCTAGGTTTCAAACTATATTAAACTAAAATACAATTTAGTCAGTTAGGATTTAGCAGTGGTAGCTTGTGTAAGAATGATCGGGACTGCCTCTTTTTAAGAGCCTAAATATCCTCGATCACACAGGGCGTACCTCTAGCTGTTCTTTATTGAATAATTTTCACTAGAAGTACTAAGTGTTCATGACCACATGCCTAATTTGTAGATAGACATAATAACGTAAGTCACGTTAATACATTAGCTGATATAAATATAGTTCCATCTGAAGAAAAGTTAAAAAAATAAAAAGACTTATTGGATTTTGGAGATTGGCGGGAGGACCAAAATCTATAAGTAGTAGTTCGGAGATTATAAAATTTAGTTTATAATATCCTACATCTACTAATGTCTCAAATGGGTCCAAGTAGACGAGTCATACCAAATACTCAGGCTATTGGGGCCATCAAAGTGATTTAGAACACTTTGGAAATATTGGAAAAAGAGCTTGTATTAAATTATTTAAAATACAAATAAAAACCAATGTATTATCTCAATTGATCTTGATATTTTAGACTGACCGGAGGCCGTATTTCTACAATTCAAAGTCTCCCATGGGGAATTTCCATAACAATATTTCCCATCGAGATCGATGTCAAAAAAGTTACAGCTATAGGTCCCACCACCGGGCTCATTGCCACAGTAGACGTCCATAGTATGGTTCTCACTGTCCGCAAAGAGTTCGATATCGTACCGTCCGGCGAAGATCAAAGATCGGTTGAACCATCGCCAGTGGATATAACAGCATTGACTGCTACCTTCGAAGTTTCACCCAAGAACGCATGCTTCTCCTTGAGCTTCCGGACATAATCCTCTTGGGACGGCTCCCATAAGCAATGAGATCCAGTGACCCTAAACCCTAAGGGCCATAACGAGTCATCAGCTGTCGGATCACATCTGTCACTGAGTATTCTGGGTCTATCTCCAAATGGATTTCCATCATCAAACGTTCGTTAAGGTAAGACAACAGCAAGTTCACTTGTGCCGAGAATCGACGTCCCTATCCATGGGGTCGCTTCGAAGCCAAGGAGGGAGCTATCGTATCCAAGGAGGTAGCTGGTTGCCCTGTGTTCTCGTTATCAAGGACCGGCAGGTCCGGGCTGGCCCTCATTGTGGTTTAGGGCCAAGAACCAACTATGTACAAACCAAAAAATATATGGGAGGACCGGAGGTTGCACTTTTACAATTGTATCGGTGTAAATGATTGGCCCAGAATTTGGCGGGCTTTGTGCAAAGTGACTTTATAGATTATGTCTGCCTCATAAAAAGAGAGTATGAAGTATTTATGTATTGTGTGGGTATTTTCATTTAGGAAAGACCCTGGGCCACATCACCTGTTCATACGAAGTCGATGTATTTATATTGTATGTCCTTCAGTTATACACGTGGATGTATGTGAATACATGTATGCACATGTGTATGTATACCTATAGTTAACAGTTTTCTGATCTAGTGAACAGCTATGGCGAGTGACGGGTCCGATGTGTCTGCCGATGAGGATGGCATCGCAGACTGTGATGTGATAGTCATGCACCCGGGCGCACAGTTCTTGCGCATTGGGTTGTCAAAGAACCCATTTCCTTTCACGATTCTGCATGCCATAGCACGTAAAGTGCGATCACAACCCGATAAAAAAAAACCAAAGCTAGCTCACGACAATGACGACAGTGACAGCAATAGCGACGATCTAGAAGCTTCAAGTGACGCTAACAAAGCTGACGAAAACCAAAAGAAGTCCGCAAAGACGGCAACATCCAACTCTGACACGAAAGTTGTACTATACAATAGCACTGTAGTGGCCGAAGAGATACCAAAACATATGGACGACCAAGAGGTCACCTGGGATAAAATAGACGACTACGAAGGAAGAGACTATGCCGTCGGCAATGAGTTGCTAACTTTGGATCCAACGGATGTCAAGGTACTTGTTATTGATTCTATCAGCCAATTGTATGTAATCGATAGTATTTGTGATCATATCACTCCATATGTTTAAGTTCTCTGTGCATTCAAGGCTTTGTTCTATTAACAAACAGTTAATATAATCATAGGCATACTAAATCGGCTGCTTCGAGCTGCTTTTTCTTGTAACGTGTTGTTTATTGAGTGGTCTGTTTCCTACTTTCCCCAAACGAGTGCATCAACGATTATATGATATGCATTGGGGTAAATTGGGTAATCTTATACAAAGTATACGGCTTCGACGTTCTTATTCTTGCAAACTGTATTGCTTCTAGAGCTCCTCTGGTCTCAAACTAGCGTTGAGAACGGTGCACATATATTCCCGAACACTTTACGATGGGCATCGCTACTAGATATCTCAAATTGCAAGTACACGTGTAAATAATGGCACACGTAGAAATACCTGTGCTGCATTAAGGAATCCATATATACTGAAACACCTTTTTATGGCACGGCCGCTCGGTCAGGAACTTGTATTGTTGTGGCATCCTTTAATGTACCGACATAAAACGAACGAACGCTTCGTATATA